CATGAAGCATCCCCCTGAGTCACCTCTCGCCGTGTAACGCGTTCCCATCCTTAACAGCTGGTCTAGTCGGTGTGAAAGAGCAGAACAGGTTGTGATCCCATTTATCGCTTTGCTGAATGTTTGGATCTTCACCCAAAGGCTTTGCGTGGCTCTGGTGTACTTTCAGACTGCCCGGGAGGGGGGGCTGAGGCACATTGCACAGATGTGCAATGAAAGTATAAACGCCTGTGCTGTCATTTTAGGAACGTGTGCCATTCCCATGGTTTGCTAAACTCTTATAATTATCGTAACACCTGCAGCTTGCCTGCAGTTCAATCCCGGGTGCCTTTTTCCTGCTTGATCAGCTCATTTCTAGCTGCCTGTCATATGGGAGATGCCCTCTCCAGTGCAGCGGTTATCATTACTGAAGCAACTCCTGCGAGCAGGGCAGTCGGCAGAAGGGGAGGTGTGATTGCTCCCTGCCTCCCTCGGGCATCTCATGATCTTGGCTGAAGGAGACAGGGGACAGGCACAGCTGGGGATTAACATGTAGAAATCTTGAATTTTAGGAAGTCTTAATGTCTTCACAGTGATCTGACTCCTTGTAGAATCACTTATGAGATGTTAAGGAAGTTGAGTAAACCAGAAAGATGCTGGAATTTCTCAGTTATATAAGGGGCTAATATTGCATGGGAAATGAACTTGTCCACAAAGACTGTTTTGTTTTAAATGTGGTGTCACCCCCTCAGCTTCGTTCCCCTTTTTTTTGTCCGTGTGCCACATCCAGTCTGAAATGTGAGCAGCTTGCGACAGGGGATGTTTTTTGTGTTTGTAAAGCCTGGAGATCTTGGGCTGTGAGGGGCCTGGGTAATCTCTGGTGGAGCTAGACCTGATCCTGAACTAAAGCACCATCACCAAGATTGTTAGATGCTTAGACCTCTGCAACCTCAGACACTTGTCACCCAGTGACTTTTAGGACAGGGTTGGCAGTGTCCTCTGGGAGACCTGTTGGCCCACCCACACATGGGTGTCTCCTGGGCCATCCACCTGGGAGGCAGCTGCCCCAAAACCACTGGGTGCTCAGAGATGTGTTTTCAGGACATCTTGGCAGACTTGAATGCGATGGGCTGGGCTATCTCCACAAAGCTCAAACGCTTTGATGGCAACGTGACTTCTTCATTGCTGGAGCTATCAGTTCAATGCTGCTTGAGAGATCTCCACTCGAGCTTAGACCACCACAGGCTTTAACAAATGAGAGGGCTCTGTTTTTGTTATCCAGTCCTTCCTTGTGGAGCGTGAATGATTTCTTAAGCACACAGAGGTTTGTGATGCAAGTACTCATTATCCACCCCGGTTTGTTACAAATGAATCATAAAGTAAACTTAATGAAACAAAGCACACAAAAGTAGATTGATATTTGACTTGGCGTGGCTTGATGTTTTCTCTTCTGGTGTTTGAGGGCTTTGTCTGTTTGGTTTTGGTTTTGTTTTTTGTCAGTTTGGTTTTTATCCAGATGACAATGAGACAAACAGCTAAGCCAGAGGTAAAAGCAGAACAAGCACATCAAGGTGTATTCTTCTATTCAGCAAGGTCTTTTGGACTCATTTGGGGCACCTTGACAAAGAAGTTTAGTTTCTACAGTTGTGGCTATCATTTTCAGAAGACTCCTCTCTGCAAAATGCTTTGTTGTAACTGAAGAAGATCGGCATGCCTATGGGCAGTAGTTACTGCTGAGGGTAACTTCATGTGATGGGTGGAAAAGTAAAGTAACACTGGCAGAATAACTATGGAGAAATTTCGTATCATGGAGTATAGCGAAGCCCCAGGGAACATTTCAACTTGCTGGTTTTGGGGGAACCGTTTTGTTAGCATCTGTCCTAGGACTTCAGTGCCTCTGGCCTCAAAAGAGATATTCTCAGAAGGAATCACCTTAGAGGGAGTTTGTTATCTACAGAGCCTGACTTTTAGATTATATTGTTTGTGGACATCCATGGGCACCCAGGGGATGGCAGCTTTTGGGAGCAGGGAGGTGGCCTAAGGAGGATGTAAGACATACCTTATTTTTGATATCTTTCTCCCCTCCTATCTCTCTAAAGAATTATAATGGGTTATGTGTTGGAGAATGAATGGTGAAGATGGGATGTAATGGATAGTGGTGAGCAATGTCCCTGGCTGAGCTGAAGGCTGTTTGTGCCTTTGAGAGCAGCTGCCAGCATCTGTCTGCAGCAGCTTTTGGGCCACCAGCTGTGGAAGGCACTGCTGCAGAGGGCTCTCCTAGGGCACATTCAGAGTCCCCAGTGCCTTCTGGTGTAGCCAAGCTTTTATTTTCCTTGTTGAGAAGCTTCCCTAGGGGGCATGAGAGGGGTTTGTCTTGCTGTGTGGAGTGAAACACAAATAAAAGCAACTAGGAAAAGGAATGGAGGGTTATTTTCCAGTTGAGTCTGCACTAGCCAACACTTTGGTGTTCTCTTAAAAATGAAAGCCTCACTGGAGTCAGTCTTCTGGCAGCAGAGAGCATGCTTTTGGGAGGCTTTCTTTCTGGTTGCCTCAGCAAAACAAATATACTCGGAACATATCTCACTCTATGGGCAGGGTAACAAGCAAATAAAACCAATCAGCCCATCTCCAGGTGGCAACCTACCTGCCAGGAGCATTGCTGCTGCCCTGCTGAGACCTGAAGTGCTGGCTCTGCGCTAATGGTGGTGTGTGTCCGCCTGTCCTCTGAGTGGTCTGATGGCTTGAAATAGTGTAGTAATTCAGTTCGGCAGGGGTGCTGAGAGCTCTCAGCTTGCTTGAGGCTTCAGGGGGTCTTAGTCCCATACCTAAGCACTGAGTGCCTTGGAAACCTGAGCATTTGAAGGCCAAGTCCACCGCCTTGACCACCATTGAAATGGGTGGCAAAGCCAGGATCAGTTTCAGAGGACGAGTGTGGTTATGTTTGCAGCTGACTTTGGATACATTTGGGATCCAGGTGATAAAGGCTGGCTCCAGCATGTCCTAGGTGGCTATCTTTCAGGCAGAACGTTAGGCTGGTGGAGCCAAACCTTGAGGGTCAAGTCCTCCACAGGCAGAAGCAGATGCAGTTGTTAGTGCTTTTGGAAAAGCCAGGCCATTAATTATGAATGGAGTATGTGTACTTGCCTACTTCCAGGGGACACGGAGCATAAGGGTGTCTGCCTTTATACAAGATGTGTACAGGCACACAGTGAAATACAGCGATAGTTAAATGTTAATGTTCATGATCTGATTTTTGGCTGTCGTCCTGCATGACTGTTTGCAGATGTGAGGGTTTTCTGTGGGTTTTTTTTTTTGTTGTTTGGTATTTTTTTTAATAAAAAGAGAAGTCTTGAAGAACAAAGAGCCTGAGAGCACTCTGTGTAAGATCTTAACTCGTAATTGGAAAGGAGGAGGGAATTATTTAGAAACCAGCCAAATAAAACTCAGGTGCTAATTTAAAACAAAACAACCTTCCACTGACATTTGGAGTGGTCTCTTACTCCTGGAGAGGGAATGGCATTTGTGGAAGCCTTCCAATTCGTGTATTTGAGAGTCGTTTTTACTGACCTAATGGCTCAGGTCACTTGGATTTGTTATAATTATAATTATAATGGGACTTCTCTGTGCACCATAGCAAAGGCATGAGACTTCTGGACAGTCTGCAATGGTCTTTGGCTGCAATACTGTGGTTATTTGATGGTTAATAGGAACATCACTCATTTAGAGTTACTTAAAGAAAAATAAAGCCTGGAAAATCAGTGAAATAAGATTTACATAGCCAGAGCAAGGCAATATTTTTTTGTTATTTGCTCACAACAATCCACAAATATGTGGAAAGCTGAAATTGTTTTACTGCTCAGGCAGCTGTTTGACCGCTTGAGAAGCAACACTGAGGTCACATTGTTCTGTTGTCTGATGGGGAGCAATAGCAAATTCGACAGGCGCCTGTGGCCACAGGAGAGCAAGACTGGGCAAAGTTTGGCTCGTGGTGATGCTGCTGGAGCCCACGGAGGCTGTGTGTGCCCCAAGGAGGAGCCTGGGCTGCCATGCAGCATCCTAGCGTGGAGAGGGGCGTCTCAGCAGTGGGAGCTGGGGGTCAGGCAGGGCTCGGTAGTCCTCAGCACAGGATGTTGATGTACTGCCTGGAGAACTTGGGGTTTTCCATTTGCTTTTGTGGGGATGGGAATCCTTCAGGCAGCCTCATTAATTGTGGTTTAAGCAGAAAGTTACTTTTCCAGAGCTTGGTTTTCTCAATCCTTTTGCCCCCTGGTTTGATGAGGCTTGTGTGATAGATCACTTAGGGAAAGGCAAGGGGATGGTGTGCTTGTGCAGATAGGTTTTGATCCTTCCTGCCTGATTTGCATGTATATGTTATGTTTGTTTCTGATAATTTTTTTATTATTTTACTTTGTATTGCTACATTGATGTATTTATATCATTTTGTAATCAGAAGTGTCTAGAGTATTAATTACTAGAAAACCACATGAGAAAATCGTGCTTTTCTGCCAACATTCCTATGCTAATATACCAAAAATAATCATATTTAAAATCACTAACTCTAAAATACATTTAAATTGGAACCATTGAAATTCACCTCTTATTTGTGTCAAAGGCTCCAAAACATGCTTCTTCTAAAGTACAAAAAGTAACAGAAAGCCTAAGGCTTCTAAAATGTCATCCTTTAAAAAATAATCTAGATTTCAGCTGGAGGTTGGTAGAGATGCAATGAGCCTTTTAGTGACTGACCTAAGCAACCCTAAAAATCAGATTTGTAGTACTTGTATCAACAGATTGGCTATAGAAGTTCAACTTCATTATCATGGCAACTTGCTAGAAATAAGTGGTGGCCCAGAAGCCCAGCTGAGAAGCTGAGATTGTGCTATGGGCTGCCTTGAGAAGCTATAGAAAGTGAGAAAGTGGGCATGTGTAGTCTGAAATGAATTGCATTTGCCTATGGAAAACCAGGGCAATTTATTAACATGAATTTCTAATTGGAACTCTTGCCTTTGGTCTGTCTTTTTAAGGATAAAGGACTTTTGCTGAGGACAGTCACAGGCTGCTGTGTGCTGCTTTGCTGCCAGATTGAACAGTTCCTCAGGAAAGCACTTGGCCCCAGAGGCAAGACCAAAGTGATGCTTTGCAGTCCCTGGTGTGAGCTGGAGGTGGCTGGTGAGTACCTGGGGTGTGGAAACCACAGTCCAGCAGAACGGGCTGTATTGTGGGTTGTTCATACCTCACACCAGTGATTTTTCTTGCGTGACCCCCCCCTCCCCTCCCCAGTCTTCAAACCCAGATGCTCTGCCAGAGTTCAGATGTCCCACAGAGGTCCAACATAAAAAGCCAAACTGACAGAGGATCTGTCACATCCTCAGGTAAATTGTTCCAGTGGTTAATTAATTACTTTAACTGCTGTGCACCAAGAACAATTTTATTTCTCTGTAGAAATGCCTTTAGTTTCCAGCCACTGGATCTCAAGATGCTTTCCCCTGTCAGATTAAAAAGCCTCATCTTATTACTCCTTTCTCTGCGTAGGCACTTACTGACCACTCTCAAGTCACCTCTTAACCTTCCCAGGGACAGACTAAATGGATTGAACGTCTCTAGTTTGCCGCTGTAAGGGAGGTTTATCAGCCTCCCATTCTTCTTCTGCCTTCTGAAACCCCTCCAATTTGTTCTCGTCTGCTTTTCCAGCCAGATGCAGCAGGGGTTTGTGTAGTCTTTCATGTCTTCTACCATGGCTAAAGAGCTTCTGACCACCCACTGAGCCTTGCCCTGCTCTGGACGTCCCAAGGCTGAATTTGTCCTCAGCTGCTGCCACATCCAGGGTCAGTTTAAGTCCCTAGTCCCACTCTAGTGTCCCCATGAGAATGGGATGGGGATTGTGGAGAGCTCAGGATCAGCCTGTTGTGGCCCGAGGGGCTTCTGTGCCTCTGTTTTGGCATCTGTCCTGGTTATGCAAGAAGAAATAGATAGTCCTGAGACAGGCAGCTGTGCTGGGAGAGAGAGACAGGGGAGCTCAGCTGTGTTTGGAGTCTGCTCACACAAAAGTTCACCAGCTCCAAGTGAGTGTAATTGAGGAGACAAAGTAGGAGCAGCCTGAAAATCACAGGGACGGCATAACTTCCAGCCGAGGAGAAAGGGGCCTTTACGAGGTCTTGAACCAGTGTCCTTACACGCGTTGTGCTGTAGTGTGATGTGTGAGCACTCAGCCACTCCACTGCCGGTTAGAAATGAGAAATTTCAAGGGCTATTGAGCACTCTGTGAATTTTCACAGTGGCTCAGCGCAAAGTTATTTAGCACAGGTGTTTTGGTAATTGTGATGCATTGGGAAAATTCACAGTGCTCAATGGTCCTCAAACTTCCACCTGCTTGGTGTGGTGGTTAAGTATTAGTGCAGTGGATTATAAGATAAAATATGCAGGAGAGACTTGCTGGCTGCAGGACTTTTTCTGGCACTGGTTGTATTTCTTTGTTATTCTACGATCGGTTTGTTTATCTGATGTATATTGGAGGGATGGAAAGTTGATTTTGGTGGCTTTTAAAGTTGCATGTTTTGCATGTAGTAAACCTGATGGGTCCATGTCCCCTCACAGCATGGGCGAGAGCATTCCTGCCCATTGCTCAGCAGCATTTCCAGAGCCCCCCTTCTGCTTCTTCAGAAGCATCACTTCTGAAAATACCCAGCTGTGAGCCCTTGGAAAGGGGAGAGCAAAGAAGAGGGACCTCTGCCCACACCTCTCTAAATGTGTGCAACTGCAGAGGGGCTGCAAGTCCTGGGTAGAGTTTTCTTCTAATTAGCACTTTCCAAGTCACCTCTGCTCCCACACTGACTGTGCTAGGAGGGGCCCTTCAGGAAGGACGCTCTATCTGTCCTTTCATGCACAAATGAATTGATTAGGCATCTTTGCAAGGATGTGATGTGGCCAAGTACAAAGAGTCAGAAGAAAGCTTTAATTTTACTTTTACTTCAGCCCTGACAGTGGAACATTGTGGCAAAAACAAACGCTGAACTGATGACACAGGCCATTATTACAAAGTAATTAAATACAGAAAAATATTGTTTTCTGCTATCTCCTAAGATGAATATTTGGACCGATCCTGCAAGATTTACTGATTTTTCTGTGCTATTGATGGGCAGCTAAAGCAAAAGGATATGCGACAAGGTGGGATGGCTGAGCTTGTTTGCTGCTGCCATTTGCAGAGCAAACTGATTTTTCATTTTTTAGTTTTTGGTGCTGAATCAATATTAGCAATGTGATTCCAAGACTTCCCCAGCTTGCCTCCCAGATAAGCACATGTAGCTGACTGGCTTTATTCCACCCACTTCTCTCCATATATTCACCCCAAGCCAGTTATCATGGGAACATGCCTGTACACAACCATTGAATAGAAGTTTTCAAAAGAAGGGAGAGTTCAGCATCTGAAAGCGAAAGGTGATAAACAAAAATGCACTGAAAATCCCAGATCTGTGCTGGGAAAGGGGAAGGGTGGTTGGGTCAGCTGAGAGCCTATCACTGTATTCACACATGGAGGTGTAGGTGCAGGTGAGGGAGGAGGGAAGCGGTGGTTGCGGTGGGGATAGGAATGCTCAGATTGGGAGCTGCCAGTGTGTCCCTGTGCGGCTGCTGGACTGCAGGAGCTGTCTGTCACCGGGGGTTGACAGGACCCCACCAACCTAAGGGCCATCCGGCTCCATCCATGGGGGCTGGAAACCCCGTGGTGGGGCTGAGGGATGTTCAACCCAGAGTTTCTTTGCCATTTGTGGTGTCTGTTTCTCTGCCACTTGCTCCTCCGCAGTCCTGCTGACTCGAGTGGGACAGGAGTGATGCTTTCTTGGCCCTCAGCTCCCACAGCTAAGAGAGCAGCATTTCTCCTTTCTCCTCACTGCATTTAGACACCAAGTTTCTAACCACAACCAGCCACCTCCTCCAAGCGAGCACTCAGTCGTGTCCCCTGCGAATCCTGGCAAGGCTGGAGGCTGGCTCGCTGCGTGTCATACTGCAGGTTTTTGGTAGGGCAAAGTGCTGACTCCACGGTGTGTTTGGCTCTTGCAGGCACAGGGAGGACTTCCATAAAAAACAAAACCACAACAGTCAGGGTTTATCATGAGCACAGTGCAGCCACCTGTAAGAATCTCCAGAAGATGAAAAGCTGGTGCATGACTAGAGGATCCTTTCATGAAATGTAAGTAAAATTAATAGGTGGATTTTGTTTTGAGCTTTTGAAACATTTCAAAATTCCCAGTTCTGACAAAATTTCAAATGGAAGTTTCAGATGTCTCCTCCTCACTTATGTTTCTCTTCAGGCTTCTCTCTCCCTCTTACACCATGGTTTTTAATGTTATTAACATGTAAATTAGTCTTATTTACAGAAAATAACATCTTGACAAGTTGACAAGTGTTGTGTATGACAAGAGTTTGGTCTGGGAGGCATTTCTGTTTCTACAATTGCTATTGTTCCCTGGGATGGAAATGTAGCCGTGCACACAGCGGTGGTCTGGGTGCTTACGCTGCATTTAGCCCCAGTTCACTTGGAAATATACAGCTGAGATACCGTGCTGGGTGCAGTCATCGGTGTCTGTGCAGGGTCTCTCCAGGTCCTACCAAAGCCAGCAGATGATTTGCTTTGTTGCTGCTACTGAAATCAGGTTTGGACCTGCGTGTTGCATAGCAACCCTAAATTATTATAAGAACCCTCAAAAGGGTATTAATGCTACTCATGAATAAATACAGTTTGTCTCATGCCTGTTTATGAATTGTTTTTATGCCATTCCCCAGCCGAGTGAAGGCTTTCATCTTCCCAAACAATGAAATTCAAGTTACTGCCAGAAGACTGGTAGCTCTCACTCAGTGGCACAGCGGCTGTAATTAGTCTTTTCCAGTACATACTTCTTGGATTTCATTTTAAGGAGGACTTGACTTTAACTTGTTGCTTATTCCTCACAGCTGACCAGGCTCAGGTCCCACTTGTGAAATGGGTTTTCTGGTAAGTGTTAGGAGAGGTCGTGTTTCAGGTGTGGATGTTTCCTGCATGGATCCTCACTCCCAGATAGAAAGCGCTTAGTGTTCGTCTGTCTTTCTTTCTAGGAAAAGTCATCCCTGAAAGCAAGGAATGTATTTTGCCTTTTTCTCATACTCTTTGAAAGCTGTCAGTACTAATTTAATTAGTTGGTGCATAATCACAGTTTATCATTTCCAAGTCTAATGTATTATAATATTGTTTATACTGATTTGATGATTAAAGGCCTTGTCAGAGTCTTTGTTTCTTTTCAAAAAGAAAATGTATTTATCACTCTTAAAAAAACCCCAGCCTTTGTTGTTATGCAAATGACACACACCAGATTAAGGAGGTTTATTTTACCTGAGCAGGTATTTACAGTAATTTTCTGTACTCTTGCTGTCATTTTTATTGTCTACAGTGCCCTTGTCTTCCTCTGCAAGATGCCTCCTCACCAGGACCAGCTCTGTTACGCAGTGCTGTGGCTCTGCCTATGCTCATGTCCACCCACACCCTCTTCTCCTTTAGCCTTGAGCCCCATCCATCCTCAGAACAGCCCTCCCTGGCTCACAGTGTTTCCAGGAGCAAAACACCCAGTTTGGAGGCTGGGGGAGCTCCTTGGCTCTGCTTTGCTGCTGCAGGCAGTATTGGTGGGTATGATCCTGCTCGGCAGAGAGATGCCACTGTCTTTGAGTGGATGGGTCTTCCCCAACTGCCCCTCCCAGGGACCACGAGATTTTACTAAATCCTTCTTTATTTCCCCAGACTCCTTGCAAGAAGGAACATCTCCACTTTGCAGCAGAGTTGGACTAAAGTTGGGCTCACGGGTCAGGTGAAAAAATGGGAGACGGCTCCTCAGCTCAGAGTGGGATACTGTATAACCCTTTCTGGTTTGGGGATTGCTATATTCTACTTTATTTTGGATGCACAAATATGTGATGGCGATGGCTGCAGGCTGTGTTTCAAGTCCTTGAAGAAAGCAATATGTTTCCTCCTCCCTCCTGCCGGAGCCTGAGCTGCAGTGTTCTGCAGCTGGGGGAATGACCATGTTTGTGTCTGTCATCAATTCCACAGTCTGTTATTTAAATTACAAAGCTCATTCTTTGCATCAGTGTATGCACAGCAAGTTAGCAATCTATGCATAAAGTCCCAGCAGGCAATGATTGTCTCCTAAGGAAGGAAGAAGTGAAGACAGCCCACTGGATTGACAGAAATATCACTGAACTCAGATGCGTTCCTGGAACAATTGGTTTCCTTTCGAAGAAAGTTGCCGTTAACACTGTTGTGACTGAGCATAGGTGAGCAGGGTGTTGAAAATTAGGCTGCCAGCACAATTACATGGTGCAAAAAAAACCCCCAGTGTCATCAGCTTGTTTGTGACCTCAGTAAAAACAAACCCCAGACCTGAACAATTATGCTAATTCTGCTTTGATTTACAGCAATGATAACCAGCAAATGCGCTGCCGGAGCCGCCTGATGCGTGTGCTGGAGGAGTAGGCAGGGATCTCGTGGAGCCTTTGGCAATGTTTTTCCATAATTGTTCATTAAGATTTGGTTTCTGGTTAGCATTGTTCCTGCTTCGGGCATCTCCTCCAGCCATGGGTCAGGGTCATGTGAGCCCACTGAACTGTCTTTACGAGTGGGAGAGAATGTGGATGTGGGGAGCTGCACCTTATGAAATGGGGTATCAGTGATCTGGGTGGGCTGGCAACAGAGACAGGAAAAGCAACAGGTTTTTTTTTAATAATTTTATTTTTTCTTTGATTGCAGACTGTAATAGGATTGCTCTCTCCCTGGCCTGAGAAGGCAGGGAGACAGAGGAGACTGTTTCAGCCCTGTTTTGCCCCTGCAGGGTGGTATCTTCAGGACACTGGCAGCATACACTGCAGACCCTCGACTGTGCAAGACTGAGCTGTGCTGGTCCTTCCTCCAACCCTGGAGCAGCTCCAAGAATGACCCCCTGCCTCACCAATGCCTGCTGGGACCAGTGGAGCTGGAGCTGTTTACCTGTGAGAAGGTGGAGACAGTGAGAGCACCTTCAGTCCTCCAAAGGTGGTGAGCCATTTGGATTTTTGAGCTTACTGGGGATCAAAAGTCTATTTTCATAGAGATCGCTGGTTAAACTTTCAATGGATAAGAATGAAGCTAGAATTTAAGTGACTGAGCCCTCCCAGACCATTTCCAGGTATCCTTACAAGGGAATGTTTCAGGGTCTTGCTGTTTGGCTGGCAGGGACTGAGGGGGAGGTGTATCTATATGTGTGTATGTATATTTTATATCTATACACACACGTGTGTGCACACATGGGCAGGAGAGATGCCACGGAGGCTCCGAGCTCTTTCTGCGCGCTCCAGCCAGGCTGGCTGAGGCAGGCAGACCAGGGCTTGTGCATGTGCCAGGCTGGGGACCCCGGCAGTGTCACCTCCTCCAGGCACTCCGGCTAAAGCCTCTGTGGGCACAGGCACTCTTGGGCAGTGCTCATTCCACGGGGCTGCCTTAACGAAGTTCATGGTCGCTGTGGGGATCAGCTGTAATCAGCCTCACTCAGATAAATGGGAGGAAAAGGCTCCTGCCCTGGAGAGCCAGCAGATGATGGGGAGCATCACCCCTTGGCCACGCAGCTGCAGTGCCGCCCACTTGCCCATCTCCTCACTCCAGGTAGTGCTGAGCATGTGGAGGAGCACCCCTTAATATGCTGTGAGTAATTTTAACCCTTGGAACAATTTCTGGGTCCCTGGTAATGGTCTTTCTTCTTGCAGCAAAGGAAGCTGGGGAAGGTGCCCTTCACCCTCTGGCTTTAAAGTCAACCTTTTTTTTTTCCTCTGACATAAAGATAAAATCAGAAAAATGAATGCGATAGCTTTTGTTGTTTGGGGTTTTATAATGCAATATATTTTGGCTGGTGTGAAAGTTACATTTCCTGGATGTAGCTCCTGCAGGCTTTGCCAAGAGTGATAGGACTACAATGGCACATCTTAGTCTAATGAGTTTAAGTACAAACAGTTATTATTTCTAAATAAAAACGTGCTATTAAGTGCTATCAAACTTCTAAAGAAATTGTTAAAACATTGGATGAAAAACATTATAAAAGGCTGAACTCTCACCCAGGAAGCAGCACACAATGCAAATCAATAGAACTGCATTTCTTTACCACTTTATTGACCCACAAACACGCAGCTTGTGAGAGTCCTCCAGGATCCTCCCCCCTTCACAACTCTGTTTTACTTCCAAATACCACTAAAGAAACTTTTTTTTTTCTTCAAGGTAATTGCATAACTTCCTTCTGTTTCACACTCAAAAAGCTCCCGAGAAGTCAATAGACCACAGAGCATGTTTAGATATCTCTTACCCCTCGCTAATGATGTTCAGTAGATCAATCAGGGAAAGAGAGTAATTTCTTTTTTTTTTTTTTTCCCTTATAGAGGATCTTGATCTTTCTCTGAGGGGAATGACCTTGACTTGGTAATGCAGCTAAACTGGGAAAGCTGTTTTACTATTCAAACTGAATTCAGACTAGCTAAATAAATAGAAGGCAAAAGAACAAGTCTTCCCTGTTAAATAAATGTAAGATATTAAGACCTGGCTTTGTAATGATTATAGTCTAATACACAACTTGTTGAGAGGCGGTATTATTTTCTTTTTTGCCTGTCTCTCTAACCTTGAATGTTCCATTCATCTCTGTGGAAATGCTTCCTTTTTGCTATACGTTTTGTGCACACAAAGAACAATTTAAAACTTACATGGCATGGTCAATCAGAGATACCTAACTGGCTCTTTAGAAAACATGAATTGTGCCTTTTTTTTTTTTTTTTAATACGAACACAAAACAAGTCAGTGGCACCACATTAATCATTCAAGCCGATTGGAAAGCCTCCAAGCACCAGCTGAGTTTAAAATAAATAAAAAACAAAACAAACAAAAACCCCACACACTTTGATAAGAACCAACTGGGAATGAGATTTCCCCCCTCCCGCCCCAAGTTTCAAAAAGAACAACAACAAAAAAAACAATTCGAAGAATTGGCAAGAAAACAAATTGAACTATCATGGCTGGTTGTAAGGGCCATGCTTTGGCTCTGGAGAAATGATTCATAAATATTCATTAGCCTGGGGAAACATGAAAAACAGGATTAGACTTATTCATGGGAGTTTATCTTTAGGGTCAGTGCTAGGGTGAGAGAGCCAAGACAGGCAAATTGCAGTTTTATAACATATTTCCTGGGATAGACAAGATCTGCAGTCCTCTCTCTTAAAAACAAAAAAAAACCTCAAAAGAGGTTTTCAACCTCAAAAAAGCATTTTCATTTCTTTGTACAGCAGAGATGCTGTCTCAGCTCAGGCCTGTCCCACAGGTGGTGCTCACCCTGTGTCCCCACGCTCTGTGCCATGGGACAGTGATGGTTCTGGTGACTCTGGCTGTGTGTCCCCAAGGGCTCGGTGTGGCACGTCCCCAGGGATGGGTGCTGGTCTGTCCCTGCAGACCGTGGCACCATTCCCATCCTGCGTTTGCCCCTTCTGCAGTTCCCTTGGCCCATTCACCCCCGGGATGCGTGAGGGTCCCCTGTGCCCCTCAGCACTCGGTGCTGAGCGCCACATCCAGGCAGCCCTGTGCTGGTGGGGACTTAGTGCCCGTAGCACGATGCAGCCCTGTACAGCAATGGGGTTTTTACTGCAGGAAAATATCCTTTGGTTTTGAACCTGGCAGGGTTGCTCCTGTGTTGCTTCCACACAAAGTTGGTGCACAGCAGAGAGCTAATGAGCTCCAAAGGTAGATAGGATGGGAAGAGTCCACAAAGCTTCCAGGAACCACCCCCAACTTACCAGGGGAAAAGAAAAGGACTGTGACCTCTGGCAAGATGTCCAGGAGCATGAAGACATCCATATGTCACCTACTCACTACAGGCTGAGATGAAGAGAAGCAGGTCTCAGGGAAATGTAGCCAGGTCCAGATGATAACTCAATATTGCAGGACTTGGAGTCGCTGCCTTCCTCTGCTTCCAGGGGAAAGGCTGTTCCTCTGTTTATTCCTGCATCCCTTGCTTGCCTGTTTAGAAGGTGACATTGGCATTGCCTGTTGCCAAATGTATGTGTAATTTCTTAGTGTGATTGCTCTCCACTGCCGGGATGGATGGCTCTGTGCTGCCATGAGACACAGAGTGGTATTAGCAGCAGAATTGTGGAACCTGTGAGTGAGCCCCTGTGCTCATATTAAAGGAAAAGCACAGCATAAGCATATGCAACATGCGTTAGAAAATATAGCAGATTGATGACAACTAGAACCAAATGAAAAATCAGACTTCCACTTATCCACCCTCTGCAGCACACAAAGCTAATAGTGCTCTAATGCCACTAAAGTGAGTGTATAAGTGATTTTAGTGACTTTATCCATCATCAGTTCAGGACAGATACACCATTTATGATTCCTACGCTTGTACAAAGAGATAGGATCCTCAAAATCTGGTAGCTGGGACAAGGTATAGGAGCCTCACTGCCACGGCATGTGTGTGCTGGGACGGGGAAATGCAATACACTTTGTAAAGTGTGCATGAGGAATTGCTTCCAAAGAGTCTTGCCAGAAATTACACAGGTTTTGTAGTCAAATTGGGCAAGGATTAAACTGAATTTAGAAAAACGATAGCTATAAATATTTTCTGCTTTGCTGTAAGCAACAAACCCACAGAAGTAAATTGGTTAGGCTGCAGGATCCAGCTGTTAAATGCCAGCTTTCCCAGCGCCAGGGGGAAACGCTTTGCCTCATGGTAATTGGGATACTGTAATATTGCCTTGCATTTTTGTCTCCACTATATCTGCAGAGTCATTCCCTCCATCTTTTTGGTTACTACTATCCTCTCTGGTGCTTTTTAATATACCAAAGAAACTCTGAGCAGACGCACCAGGGGCTAAGGGGAAATTGGGCTTTCTCTGCCTGAGCCTTTTTGTCCGGGGTTTTCTGTTTGCTGATTGTTATCTTGAGCAGGCAGAATCCTGACAGACAACAGCGGAGGGTGATGGGGTGCTTGCATTGCTTGAGCTTTTGTACCTTCCTCAAGTTGTTTTCCTCTGCTAGCTGGGTGACAAAGATACAATCACGGTGCTTTAATACTCTTGCTCTGGAGCCAGGGATTTCCAGCTCCTTAAGGTGGATGTCACTGAAGAGCTCTGAGCTTGAGGATGCAGGAAGACTGAGGCTGCAGGACAGAATGTGCTACGCTACGGCTTCTCTCCATTTTGATCAGAGCTCGTCACGTGCTGAGGATAACTTGCTGTAAGGGGTAACTAGCCCACAGCAAGGCAGTGCCAAACAAAAGATTGCTCTTTTATTATAAGAGGACTTAAAACACTCTGTGTTGGGTGAGCGCGACTCTGCCTTTTATCCCAGCCCAGGTGTCCCCACGGCTGTTTGGGTACGAGGGCCATGGAGGCAGCATCACGACTCAGCCTGATGGGGAGCTGCTGGCTTCCGAAGGGCACATTGCTGCCGTTTTCTCCTCCTGCACACTCAGGCATTTCAGGCACCACCAGCTACAAGCAGAGAGTCTGGGGCCCCGTCCCTCCCCGCTTTACCCTCGCTCTGGTCTCTTGCTGTTTTCTTTTTCTTGCCCTGCATTGATACTTCCTTCACACTTCTGCTAGTCCTCGATCACCAGCAGCCAGGGCATTGCAGCTGTCTATATTTTAACTTAAAGTGAGTGGCATCTTTTCTCCTGGCAACAGGCTGCCTTGCTTTCTTCCCCTCTCCTTCGATAAAAAGTGACAAGTGCTCCTTCACAGAGCAGCGCAATCAAAGGCGCCGCTCAAAGAGAGCTGACAGTAAGTTGTGCGCTGGCTGCAAGCTGTTTTACCGCGGGACCGCTTAAATAGAGTTCACATCCTTCCCATCTCTCTCCCTCCTGTGACAGTGCCTAGCACCCCTTTCTGATGATATCAGAGCTTATCGCAGCGTGGCTTATCTGAATAATCAGCTCTGGCGTTTCTAAACCATCTCGGGGGGATTTCTGAGGTTCTGCAAAGCTTTCCAAGATGTGGTACGGTGCAGCTGAGAGCCCTGCCAGAGGGCTTCGCTCCCCGCTCTGCCCCTCAGAACCCTGCTAATGGCTGGGTCAATACATAAGGAGCTTTTCTAACCATCTCAGGATGCACTGATGTGTGTCTTTAGCACTGGTTCAGGCAATCACAGACGCTCTTTGGAGGGAGGATCACATCATACTGAGTGCCAGTGCTGCCTTGCAGCAAGGGAGCCTGTCAGTGGTGCTGCAAATCAATAATGTCTGTAGTTCTCCAGATTTCCTGGAGCCAGGGAGTTTACCTCTCCCCTGTCTTCATCTTCAACAGTCTTCCTCAGCACTGATGGGTGTCTATTGCCCACTGCCTCCATGCCAAGCATTTGCCAAGCCTGTGTTAGAGGCACCTTGACTGAAATCACTACCATTACCAGTAGCAAGCTGACCATGAGCATCTGTGTTACCCAGCGTAGCTCCACTCTCAAAGGGAGCATTTGTCAGGCTCCTTTTGGTTTGTAATGGCTGATGTTACTAATTCAGCAGACATCAGAGTAAGGGCTGATGCTGGACGTGGCTGCTCTGTGGATATGCTCACCACTGTGGATATGGGGAGGGCAGAGTGAGCGTGACAGGAGCACAAGCTTTACCTTAAACACATGTTTAAATCCCACCCAGGGCAAGGCTGCTGTCTGCAACCCAGCCATGCACTTAGGAAGGGGAATGACAGCCAAGGCCACGTGTGCTGGGACAAACCCACTGCTGGTGTGGAGATGTCACCAGGAGGGCTTGGCTCTATTGCCGCCGAAGCGATGGAAGGATGGAGGGTTCAGAAAAGGCTCTTTGCCTCATCCTTAAATCTGATTATTCCTAAATCCACTAAATTTAGTTTTAAATTGTTTGGACCAAGTGCATTTTAAGAAGAAATTTTGAGTTCAGAAGAAGTTACCAAGGCGTCCAGCCTGCCCTGCTTTATATCACTGGCCATCTCATTTTGGCCTGGTTTCCTAGAGGTGATCCCAGCAACGTGCACTGCACTAAAGCATATTTCCAGGAAGGCATCGTTCTCAATCTTTCTGTATTTTGCCTTTTTTGGTCTTAGTTGTATCTACAGTATGTTTCAGTGAGTTATCATTTTCACTGTTAAATATATTTTTTCTCCTTCTAATTTAGACGAATGTGGCTTTAGCTAACAGATGTACATTGGTAAGAGCATTAGGAAATTTGGAAAACTACTTTGCAAGGATTCTCCTGCTGCTGCTGTGCTAATGAAACTGAAACACTCTTCCTTGAAGTGGTCTCGGTAAGATAACTGGACTTTTTACATTTCATAATTAGTTTCTGGATGATTATCTATTAATATTTTTTGCGCTTGATTCCATGCCAATGCCTGATTTTGGCCAAGGTCTCTTTTGGCTGTCTTATTTTGCATATTTGGACTAAACTGCTGAAGAGAACACTACTTTTGCTGAAATCAGGGAGACTGCATTTGCTAAGCGGACTGGGGTAGCAATTTGGGAACTTCAATAATTAGTCATTCGTTTCCAGAATTCTGCTTTATATGGCACATAAATGTGAACTAACCTTTAGGAATCCTCTGCAGCTCTGACACCTAATATCAAACTTATGCTTCGCAACAGGATGGAGAATGTATAATTTATGAGATAGTGAAGTATCTTTAATTAAACCAGTATTTTCTAAATTTTGACTTAATTTAATTTTAATCTAACAGAAAGAAGCAATCCGAGTCCAGGCGAAGTTTTCCTTAAATACCATCCTTGTTATCTGGGAGGCTTTGAATCAAGTAAGATAGATGATTTTAATTTCCATGTTCTCAGTGTAACACTTGGGGTCAATGTTTGCATACTTATCATAGGCAGTTTACCATTGACAACCACTGTAATTGTTCAACTTTTCCTTGGTGAAGATCTGATTGACTATTATGCACTGTATTTATTATGTCTCACACTAAAATATAGATGATTGATTATTCCATTATTCCATTGACCAAGGCTGTAACAAGGTGTGACAAATATGTGCCATTACAGTCCATAACCAACTGAGGATGGTAGTACAGTCAGGTAGGAGAATTTTAATGTGTGCGACTCTCTGGAAAGCTTTAGCAAACTTTCAGGACACTGCATTTAAAAGACTTTATCTGAATGAATGGTCTTCTTTTCTGCTAGGTACTTTCTAAGGATGAAAAAGAAAAAAAGATAACAGGCCTTGATCTGAAAAGCTTAGAATATGATTGAGAGCCAACTGGAGCCAAGGGAAATTCTTCCAGTGACTTGCTGGGCTTTGGCAGGGTCCTGAGGGTAATCTCTCTGTTTACTTCACTGAGAGTTGTGTCAGCCCCTGAAAAAATCACCATTTGTTAACTGCATTAAAATGTGCAGGAAAAAAAGTGCCTTCTGTCACTGATGTAGCACATTAATGTGAATTATGTGCACATATCAAGGGGACTTATAGTTGGAAAGAGAAAAATCCTGTATTTTAAAGCTCTTTATCTGAAGCTTGGTATTTGAAATGCATAATTTAATTATCTTTGAACTCCTTTGTTCCTCCTTAAAATAAATCATGTTTAATTTTCCTTTTAAATATCACACATTGATGGACACAGCACTGGGGATCATGGTAACAAAATGGTGTTGAACCAGTTAGTGGAAATTAGTAGTAATAAACAATGCATTTGCTACTAGTCTGTCATATTAATTAGTCTTCAGAATGTGGCAGTGCTTTTCATTTGTATTTAACGTTGCCTGAGCTTACTGCCAATTAAATACAATGCTGTTATCAAATCAGCTCGCACGTGATTACATTGGATTAATGTGGTTATTTTCTTTGATCCACTATAATTAAAAATCACGGTTGTGATTTTAAACAAGTGTAAAAATATAATCAGTTTGCATACGCAGCTGCCTTTTTCTTCTAATTTACTTTATTAACATTCGCCTCTAATTAACAATTGTGGAAGTCCTGGGCCCTGTTTAGCAGCTCAGAGGAGACAGCAGCATTTTGCAAGTGCTGGAAGAAGCCCTTCGTGTGCCTGTGTGCCCTCCTCGCCCCTGCCCAGCCTCCAAAGGTGAAGTTTTCGAGTGAGATCTCTGGCAGATCAGTCCCCAAATCCTCAAGGACAACTCATCAGCTTCAAGCCGAAAGAAAATACCACCTTAAAACTCAATACTGTTTCCCTTGAAGCCTGATGGCTCAGTCTAACTAGCCACCTGCACTGTGCTTAGTTCCCAGGGAGTCTTTAATTGCTGCAAGCACTGCATCAGGCTGTGCCGTGCAGCCTCCTTGTCCCCACAGGACCGTCACCCCAGCAGTTGTGCAGCCAAGAAGTCTATGGAGATATGGGCTTATGCAAAACGGGCAACTGCAGCATGCTGAGAAGATGCCAATGCCCACACGCTGGCCCCGAAATATCCAGCCTATCCAGGCCTGGTTTTTTCAGCCTTCGGCTTTTCACCAAGTGGGAGCTCTTCCTTTTGGGTTCTGCCACCCAGCAGGGGTGAGGAAGAGGCGAAATGCCACCGCCCAAACCAGAAGGACATTGTTTCCCATCACTACCCACTTCTCTGCTGCTGACAGACAGGACCCAGACAGCAGAAAGTCTGGAGGAGGCTGCTCTTCTGCTGGAGCAGATAGAAGTAATTAGTCAAATCACTGCGGCGCAGAGAGGGACTCTGGCCCATCTCCCGTCAGGCAGCAAATGACTCATTGCGTAACAACTTCAGTAAAGGAGTATTTTTTTCTTCTTCCTTTCCAATGTTCCACTTCAGTAAAGGAGTATTTTTTTCTTCTTCTTCCTTTCCAATGTTCTGCAGTGAAACAAAGAGCTGAATTTTCCAAAAAGCCACCAGGGCTCTTTTTCGGGAGCTTCACCTCCTAAGGCCACTGAGAAAGTTACCACCTGAATAAATGTCATCAGCTGTCATCCTGGTAGGGATGGAGACCAAAAGCATTGTTGCCTCTTCGAGGGGCACAGACATGGTGAGCAGCTGGTGTGTCGCTGGTGAGTTGTTATTCACCAGCCTGATTGACCCATTCATGCCATGTGTGGACCAAGCAGTGCTGGATCCTGCAGGAGTACGGCAGCCCTGGATGCTCACCAACCTCTGACCACCCAGACCTTTGTATCCCCCTTGTCCGTGCCAAGGGAGGTAGCACACAGCAAGGACATCGCCGCTGTGCAGCCTCCCAAAGCCCTGCTGGCTGGAAGAGCCTTTTCCCAACGAGAAGAAACAAATAGAAAAGTGCCGTCACACTTCCTACATCGCTTCCAACTGAGTGACTAGTAATGAGCACCATGTTTGCAGAAAGTTGACCAATTCTGCTGAGTTTTGCCCACTGCCGTACTTCATCAGATGCTATTGCACAGGTCTTCTGCGCTACAGGAGGCAGAGATTGCCTGTCCCACCGTGTGTCCTTCCTTACCAGTTCACAAAGCAGATGATAAATAACTAATCAAAGAATTAAGCTGGAATGAGTGGAAGTTAGCGAAACACGAGCCATGCCTTGCTGGCCCTTCGGTAAGTAATGCGCAGTGTTCTGCTGAGGTAGGACTCTTTGTGCACATAATAAGTAATGTTCCAGTGAGATGAAACCTCAGGCTCCTGATTCAGCTGATATTTCTGGCAAATTGTTGACCTATTGCAGTTTATTCAGGATTTTTCTAGTCTTGGTAGAGCGGCTCTAACAGCGACAGATTTGTCATGCTGTTTCTAACAAATATGCAGCTTTTGTAACTCTGAAAGTTATAATATCTTGAAGCACCCCAGATAATAATTGCCTCTGTGCTCTGCAGTAGCGCTCTGTGTTTATAGGCAAGGAAAAGAATTAATTAAATATTAATTAATAGGATTTAATATAGCTGGTGCCAGCTTGTGTCATAGAATAACTCAGAGGGACAATTTTAATTTCACCTGACATATGTATATTGATGATTTCTCTCCTGGGCTGGAACAGGAGGACCGTGTGGCTGCACCGCGGGCGGGGAGAAGGGCAGCCTGGCTAATGAAAGGTGGCTGAGGGGAGAGGGTTCAGCAGGGCCGTTGGCCACCTGGAAAAGATGTAAAGGGGAAAGCAGGGAAGTGGCCCTTATTTCTGTTCACCTTGGGAAGGAACAAATGCAGAAACCGTCTCCTTGCCTGGCTTTGATGCACTAGGCTTGATGGAGAAAATACTGCTCTTTTAAAGCAAAATTTTCATCCAATTTTGGATCTTTTAAAATTTGGAGGAATTTTTGGAGTGCCTGTGAAGCTAACAAAATGTAAGGGCATTGCTTATGTCAGTTCAAAGAGAAGATGTGTCAAATGGAGTGACAAAACCAAATGCTAGCTTGTGCTTTGCCGCCTATTAAACCCAGCAAGAGGCTGTGATCAAACCCCTTCTCTGAGTGTTGCTAAAAGGCTTTTATTAGCAGAGAGATGCAACCCGTGGGGACCTGTCAAACTGATGTTTCCCTGACAGGGGTCAGAGATCAGACAAACTACTACAATGTTGTACATCCAAGTTGTCTTTCAATATCCTTTGGCCTCACATTTCATGTCACATTAAGGCTTTTCTACAAAATACTTGTGTTTTAGGTGAATCTCAGGCTGGAGCTTGTACAAGCCCATAAGTGTGCACCCGCAGTTGCTCTTTTAATGATTTGGTGGGGGGGGAGGCTTGCAATTGCAGCTCAGAGGCCAGGCAGTGCATGGCTCACCCGTGGCTGCCATGGGATAGATCTCCAGGGCAGCCCAGCCTGCATGGGTGAGGATGCTCTCAGACAGCTGAGGTCTTGGGAATTGCTAATGAAACCAACTGCTCTGCCAGCAAACCACCCTGGGTCCCCCACTGGCTGTGTAATTAAAATGGGGACTGTATGGGTGTGAAGTTAATGCTGTATACATAATGTATCTGTCCCAAGGTAAGCCTTCACATCTGTTCTCTGTAAAACTGTAAGTGCAGGATATAATTAAGCGGGTGAGAAATAGCGTGGAGCAGAATGCTGTGTTGTCCACCAGCTTCTCCAACCGCCTCTCGCTGCAGCAGCGCCGTGAGTCTAACCAGCCAGAGTTAGAGCCAGCATAAAAACAGGCTGGAGGCGCTGGTGGTTAAAAACATTCCTGGGTTTGGCTTTTTTTTTTTTTTTTTCTTTCCCCCCACTCTATTCTGTCATTGAGTACAAGGAGAAACTTCAATCTGTAAATGCCACTGGTTCTCCATTTCACACTGACGTTCCCAGAGACAGCAGAACTGCCTGTAAAGTGTCTGTCACCCAATGAAAATTGGAAAAAAAAAAAAAAATCTTCCAGGTTTCTGCACACCCTTGTCACTCGTAAATAAGCTGTGGCTTAACCCTTGCCTGCCCTCCTCCTCCTGCTGCTAGACGTGAAGAAGGTGAAAGGTTTGCCTCGACACTGCTGCTCTTCTGGGTGTGGGCAGTTCAGGGAGAGCTGCTGAGGAGATAGAAAAGAGAGGGGAAAATACTTTTCCTGGCATCTTAGGAACATGTCCCAAAGTGCTTTTATGTTGGAGAGGCAGAAAGGCTCACCCAACAGATTTGCAGCCACAGCCAAACACAGAGCTACCCACCCAGGGTTTTCTTCCCACCCCACCTATTTTTGTTTGGTTTTTTTTTTTTTTTTTCTGCTAAATGTCAGTTT